CCTGGCATCCTGCCTCCCCAAGGCTGTGTGTGCAGGCTCCGTATTCTCAACTCTTAATCCTTGTTATGTACGGGCTCCATGTACAATTCATCCGATTATTATTATTGAATGTTGAGGATTCACATGTGCGAGTTATAAGACTGTAAGACGGACATTAAAAATAAACTACGTCACAACTTTGACCCTAAAACATGACATTTCCACATTGCATCAAGGAGCTGCTGCTGTGTCTGCTTGAGAGTTTCCTCCACATGGCCGCCCCGTGTCACATGGGCCATGCCTACGGTGACATGTGGAGCACCTTCTTTGCGAATTAATTACCAACAGACACAAGCGAGATCGCCTCGTGCTTGCTGTGCTACATCGAATAGAAATGTAACTCATGACAGGAGGGTCCTCCAATGCGAGAGAGCGACGTCACCCTCTAGCACACGTCACTGTGGGAGAGGTGGAACATTCATCTCAACCTGGAAACAGCCACTTACTCGGCATTTCTTTTGCAAAGAAGACCTGGGAAAAATACAGGGATTACAACGCACGTCGTGAAATACGACTGAATCGAAATAATAGGATTGACCTGAAGAGCATGATTTTTAAACTCTATGTTAATTTAAGCAAATGTGTTAAGTGTAAAAAAAAATGTTGCAACTGGAATAAAACTGAAAATGATATACTGTATATGAACAAAGTATAACGATTTACAGTCCTCAGTCAATCGAGTGCTGGATGAAGGGCTCTCCATGCTGTGTGGGTCATGGGGTTGATTGATCGTATTTCACCGCACTGCTAAGCGTAATAGGCAGAACCAGGACTGGTCCAGGTGTCCCTCACCGCTGGTGCTAGCCATGGGCAAAAATGTAATTCAGATCACTAGGTTCATAGCACAGTGCATTAACCACTGCGTGACTGCTCCCTACAAAATTATATGGCTAACTAATAACACAGCAGACCGTAATCATTACGCAGCACAGTAATCTTGAATACATTTGAACAATTACACAGAGAGCTGCTTTTCAAAACCAGGAAAGGAGCCGAGAAGCCGTTGGCACTAAGATTATCTTTGGCAAGGGACACCTTGATCACAAGAAAAGTGCAATAAACAAACCAATTACAAGACATAAACAAAACAAAAACCTCCATATCAATTTAACAAACGAAATACAAAAACTAAATTATGGGTACACGTTAAAGTGAGATGCAACTAAAGCTACTTGTATTTATATTGTCCGAGTAGTGCATGCAATATTCGACTGAAGTCTGTCTGGGGAAGGAATATCTTAAAAGTAAAGCATATCCAAGTTCCACGTGTGAGGAGGGCACACACCACACGCAGGGAAATGATGCAGGAGCCATTTATGAGAATTTGTGCCTCGTGTATTTGTACGGAGAGGAAATTGATTAAAACTATTATCCAACACGTAAACGAGTGCTGCAATGGAGCACACTGGGATATTAATTAAATGTTATGTTCCACGTGTCAACATGAAAGCCATCTATCTTTTGGAGTGGCAAACAGAAAGGTCCCTAGAGCCACATGGTGGGATAATTTAAGGAAAAAAACCTCGCAGCTTGAAAGTCAACCGCGCAACATTTACAGGATCTGACAGAAGCGAGGTGTCCTGGCATCAACGACGTTGACCCAAGCCGGCGTGTGTGTTTACAGCTGAAGGCAAAGGTGCAGCCCTGCAAATTGTTGCTCACACCGCTGCTGGCGGAAGGGCCTCGCCACTCGAGGGAGCTCCAGAGTGCCCCCTTTACAGGGCAATTTGGTAGACTCTTGCAATTTGGTGGAATCTTGCACTCACACTTTACCCCACCACACGCGGCCGGCCGATAAACTGAGCTGTATCCCATTTATACTGCTGGGTGGACAGAGGAGGGGGGATGTAAGAAACTTGCCCCATTGTACAAATGAGGATAAAACCGATGACCTCTGCCTTGCGAGTCCAACCATCATGCCACACGGCAGTACCTCTCTGTTGATGGCATACAGGTCTATTTTTAAAATGGCAATATCAGCCTGCATTGTTATTATTTGGATGATGTTTTATCGCTTATTTCGGAATGACCTGGAGGGTATATCAACAATTTTGTTGGTGTAACAATCTTTTGATAAGATATGAGTGCTTATTATACAATAATTTTAGAATTATCCATTATATAATGAGGCAGGTTATGATATAAATGATCTCCAAGCAATTATTTCAGTGTATCTTACTTAACATTCGTAGTACTAATCGTAACGAATTGGATTTTGTAAAATGAGACTTTGTATCTCTAATTGAACATTTTTACTGAATAAAAAAGGGAACTAGTTTCATCTCCTGAAATATTTCAGACGCTAAATTCGAGAGAAAGAGTGACACACAATGGATCCTGTTCTACTATAGTGAAGCACATCCCAGTGTAGAATTTTACCAATTCTACACAGGTAAATACAGATCCAAACTGCAGTACCATGTACACGTGCGTTAGACAAGTGCGAGAGAGCAGGTACACATGGAACAGTGCACTAACATGTGGCAGGATTCACTGAAATGAACTAAATAAATAAATAAACGAGGGCATGTCAAATTGCCTCTGGGTGCAATGCATGCCATTTGCCAATCATGCCGCATCTTCGCCAAAATCCGATTTTTTTTATACCGCGTTTTTGATTTGGTCCAATTTTACAAAGCAATGTAATTTGAAGGCTTTAGATTAGATATAATATATACTTATCAGATATGCATGGACTATATGGACAGGACAACGTAATTGTAATGCAAATCATGTCATCGGTTTTGTTACATTTTAAAATATTTACACAGTGTGGAATGTCTGACGTCTGCTAGGTAGGGTGCATGGATGCATATCTGTCCAAATTATTATTAGTTGTTTTGGCTTTGGCACAAAGACAAATACAAAGATCCCCCATAAAGCCTTAACAGATTGTTGGGACAAGTGCTGTTAGCGTGCACCTATGAAGGCCGGCACGGCACATGAGGGGGCGGGTAGCCAGCACCACACCTGGCCGCCTTTTTCTCCTGAGTGGCAATGTTTACACACCTAACCAGGTACTAATTTGAGGCCGAGTCGACCTAGGCGAGGTCCAGAACTGGTTCAGATAATCGTCACTGGTGTTGGACGTGAATGGGAAGCAAACTTGGGTTGCTATGTACGCAGCACAAAGCGCTAAATGCTATACTACCGCTCCCCATACACACGTGTGTGTTTTATACGTTACGCTTGCAAGATTAATCTGTTTTGCTTAGTTTAGGCCCTTACACGAAGTGTTTATTTTGTCCTTGTACTTACAAACTTGCACATTCTGAACACTCAGAACATCCCGTCCGTAAAACGTGCTAACCCCATGGCTTTTATCCAAGACGTCTTTGTATGGCCTTCTTTACATTTAGCTCCATCCGTGATGTTATTTACGAACTTTCATTAGATACTCCCAGTTGCATCCAATTGTTCAAATTGCTTGTAGACTTAATTTGCTGTGTATGTTGCAAATTGTTTTATAATGTCCTTAAGTGGGCATTCTAATTTCAATGGTCTACATGATGTCTGTATAGCCTTCAACGGTGAGAACTAATTAAAAGAACATATCACAAAGCCATTTAAAACATCAGCTAATATGTAAAAAATACATATAAATGCAATCCAAAATCTACTTTTAAAAACTAAATTTTCTTTTGCCATCCATACCCTTGATAATAATGGTCATCATTAGCATTTTCTAAATCACTGCAACACATTCTGGAGAAGAGGAGCGCTAATGTGGATGATAAACTACATCATCAATGGGGCTGGCTACACGAGTTAATAGAGGTGTGAAGAAAGTGTTCGAACCCGGATGGCGAGTCTTTTTTTTACACTTTTCATGTTAAAAAGATGATTCAAATATTATGTAATGTAAAATCACGCGGTGTAAAATCATACAAGTTTCACTTTGATGATACATTTATGTTTTACCATGTGAAAAAACAACCTTGTTGTCTCCAGTTTCTGAACTTCATTTACAAATTAGAATATTTGACGTATGTCAATGTCACTACTTTTTAATCACTCGAAGAAATTCTCGTCTGTTTTTAGATACACGATAGTGGGGCGATTCAAATTAGGGATAGAGAACGAGAATGTGACATTTGCATTATTTGTATTTTTGTTGTTACACTTGTTCACCCAGGAAAGCTGCACTGAGGCTTTTTTTCCGGAGGCACCTGCGAGGCAGTAGGACGCGATGCTGCTGCCGTGGGGGGGGTCATCCCAATTGTGTCATTCGCAGGTAACGGTTCAGCACTGGCATATTTGGCCAATACCAGTGGCATGTTGTGAATATATTTTTTTCTGTCTCAGGAATCAAACACAGTTTGCAATGCACTGCAAGACTGGGTCTCCCGTAGGTTGACTCAGCCTTGAACGAGTAAGGAGTGCAGTGTATAAACATGGGCACTGCGGGAGACAAAGACGGCTGGTCGTGTTGCTGGCCACGTCACCTCGTACGCCTTATCAGTCTTATCAGGTGTTCGCGAACAAAGCTGTCACGTGCTGTGGCACTCCACGTTTAGAAACATGCATTGAGATAACTTAGATTATGTTGATGCTATAAGTGCTCAAAAGATTGTTCACTTTGTTGAGCTATCATTTGTGATAACCAGGTCGCGTTAATAGCTCAGTGGGCTTTGCCTGGTAGGATGGGGATGGATTTGTTTAATTTGTACGTATTTGGGTGACGACTTGTTTACCTTTCTTGCACTTTGCACTACTATCATGTTTTCCTACTGTTTGTTGTTGTAACGTTGTCACCCACCCTGCGGGACATCCGTGAATCAGAGCTTTATCGCTCACCGGATTCCTCCTGCGGTATAAATAACTTAGTATGATCCTAACACCAACAGTGCGATAAATGCCATACGGGGGAATCTTTGCCTTCACTTTGTAAACAGACACACGCATATTGCGAGAACGACAGCGCTGTTCCCCCGCCCCCATGCACAGAGCTTGTGCCGCACCTGAGTTCGCGGTGGTCCGAGTATCCCCCGTCGGCGCGGGTGTCGAGGGGCGACGTGGGCGTGTGCGCCACCTGGCGGCCGCGCTGGTGCGCCGGGTACTGGTGCGCCGACGCGTTGGGCTGCGACGTGCTGTGGTACTGCGGGGGGACGCTGTTGCTCGTCTCGCTCCGGTAGTCGCTGTCGCGGTCGTCCACCGCGCTGTCCGGGTCGTCCAGCGCTGAGGATGGTGGTGGTGGGGGAGGGAATGGGCACGCAATGTGGACAGCGGATGGAGCAGAGACACGGGTCCCCCACGTGTTTACACACCGTGCCAGGCACTCACCAAACGAGCACACACCAATACCGCGCGCGGAGGTACACACCAAGTTCAAGGAATAAGAAACGATGGGCACGTCAAAATGACTTGCGATGCCCATTAGAAAACGCGATAAACGTGACCACACAGGGGAACGTGACCACACAGGGGAACGTGTAGTTTTGAATCTTGTGTGGGACCAAAATGAGGCAAATGAGCCTCATGGAAGATTGTGTAACAAATAGTTTCTTCTGGAAGGTGGAGCTAGTTTCATTGTACTTTGGGCAAATATGTGACGATTTGAACAGAAGATGGATGCATTGTAATTTCAATGGAACACAGCTTGACATATGGGGGTGGACCTCTTGATGTTTGCTCTGGTGTACTTTCAGCTGACGTGTGTTTGGAGAGATGCGCTATCGCAACTTCTCAGCAGTTATGGCAAACTGAAGTCGCTGAGCCGACGGATAACGAAGTTACATTTTGTGAATAATAACACTGACTGGTCACTGCCATTGGCCGATGCATTCGAGGGATGTAAGTTGGTTGTGGGCTGCTTGTGAGAATCAATGTTAGAATACAAATTGCTGAACTGTGTAGAGGACTAATTCATAATCTACGATTGTTGGAAAGCTTGTAACACCACAACACTTGGCTTTCCCTCCCCCCTCAAATGATGTGGCTCTGTTGGATTGCATTAACACATTACACACCATGGATATTAACTTGATGTATTCTTAATAAAAAACACATACTCAGCGAATTCACTCAGATTAACACTGGCAGAAGAAACACCTGATCTAATCTAAATAACCCACCGTTCCTACCATCAAGTGAGGATTGAGGTGCTCATCACCATTGGCTTTCCTAAGCCAAAGGTGGAAATTCCATATTCATATGATGAGGACTAGTCCATCAAATGGATTGCCACTGCTCACTTTTTCAATTAATTTCATGAACCCCAGAGGATCTATGGGCTACATGGACTGGAAATTAAACTCCGAACGCTGCCACAGTGGTTCAATTCTAACCAGTCTGAGCTCAATGTCGAAAGCTAGAGGGTCATCAAATAAAAAAAAATATTGAAAAATGTATTCTACAATGTTAACCATTTAGATTTATACGTAAACATTTTTTATCTGTAAAAGGAACTTCTAAAATATCCGCAGAGGAAATGACACGTCCATGTATACCTCTGTGAACCCTGTGATTATGATTACATTGTCTATGTAAATTATCATAGCCTTAGCATCCAAATAGGAAATGACTCGCATCATAATTGTTGGTTTGCAGATGACGAATGAAAGGATCCCTCGTGTTTTCATGAACAGAACTATCCTTACATGCAATTACCCTTCGACACTTTCAGGAAAAGCAAATACCATTGTGCTTTGAAATGCTATTTATGTAAGGAAATGGTTAGTATTCTAGAGAAAATCATTAATGGATTAACAAAAATGTTAACAGAATCAAAAACAGTGCTTTGTGGACACTCCTATAATCTGTTATGCGATGCAACAGTTGGTTCCACTTCAATACAAATCACGTCGCCACCGAAGTGAAAACTGCTGTATTCAAATGTATGCCCGTTATGTAAATCTAAAACGGTTGTCTTCCACCCCCCTTCTCCTTATTTCAATTGTACGACTGGAATTATGTCTGGAGATGAAAAACCCATTCGGCTATGTAAACACCTTTCAATTTGCCTTTTTTTTTACGCAGGAGGGGAAAAGGCAAAGATCCCCTATATAGTCTCAATAGACTGCAGGGGCAAGTGTTGTTAACGAGCAGCATCGATGAAGGCCAGCATGACATTTGAGAGGGCGGGTGGCCAGCACCGCGCCAGGCTGTCTTTGTCTCCCTCGTGAAGATGTTTGACACACCGCACCAGGTACTCAGTTGAGGCTGAAGCGACTTGCGGGAGGGGCCCAGGACCGAGAATCGTCACCGATGTTGCGAGCAGGAATTTAACTTGGGTCGCTGGGTTCGTAGCGCTGCGCGCTAACCGCTATGCTACCACTCCCGTCACACTTTACATTACACGGGGCCGATATCTCTACAAAATGTCAAACTGATAAATATATATTTCCTGGCAATCTGATATTTTTACAGTTGACTTCGCACACACTCATACTGGTTAATCTTTCACACAGGAATAATAAGCTGAGTCAACCCCCAATTTGGATTTCATCTCACAAACCTTCTGGCTTTACAGATCAAAATCCCTGATAGTCTTAGAATACCGGTCTGTGTTGCCATTGGATATTAAGACAGGACAGTTAAAAAATCTCTCTTCCATTCATCGTTCACGCGTTTCCCATCTTACCTTCTGCAGCATTCCTCTGTCGTTTCCTAAGTGGATTATGTATCTTGGTGACACGAGGACTGGTGCATCCGTTGTTATACTGGGCATGTCAAAGACAAGACCCTCAGCCACGAATGATACGTGAAAACGTGTAGATCCAATACATGACATGCCTGAGAATATTAATGATGACACCAGTGGCTCTTTATGGTGATTGGTGGTAGCAGAAGGAATATTGGTATTGATTCAAGTTACGTCTGCTTGCTGTCGATCATTTCAAATGGGTTGAGAAATGACGACTGAAACTGCGGGATTGAACATCACAGTCTAACACGGATGCTTCCAGCATATTCAGCCTGATCCTATGTTATCAAAACAATTAAATATCTCAATATTTATCACAACAGTGCAGGTCTATTTAAGTCCATTTATCATGTGAGCATCATTCGTATCTTTTGTTATGACGCTTGTTTACCCAGGGAGGCCTCACTGAGTCTCAAGACTCAGGAGGGTCTTGCCAAGTTTTCACAGTAAGCAGCCATGTTGCTATGATTAATCCCAACCGAGTAATTTGCAAGTAATTCTATTGGCAATGGGATGTTTGGCCAATACCAGTAACCTTGTATGGGTTTTATTTTATCTATGGGAGGAAACCGGAGACCTTCCAGAGGAAAGCCAGGCAGAACAGGGGGAGAACATGCAAACTTCACACTGAAATCTTCTTGGTTCTTTCGGTAAAGTCACATAGAAGGGAAGTAATAAAATAATAAAAAATAAAACATAATAAAATAATTCTCACGACGTTTCGGCCACAACGCAAGCAGTCGTTCTCAGGTGACGGCTGCTTGCGTTGTGGCCGAAACGTCGTGAGAATTATTTTATTATGTTTTATTTATTATTATTTTATTACTTCTCTTCTACGTGACTTTACCGAAGGAACCAAGAAGATGAATCCCTGCAGTCACGAAAGCTTTAAATCGAAATTCACACTGAAAGGCGCCCGAGTCGGGAATCAAATCCGCGTCCTTTTTTGTTGCGGCACAAGTGTTACCACTGCACCATTCTGTCGCTCAGCTAACTGGTATATTCTGTCCATTAGTTATGACAAAATACATCTTATAATGTACACAAAATTTGAATACGCAAGCAATTGTACAGTGCCTGGTCCTGTTACAGAAATGACAGTTTGCATTGTAAAGGCACAATAAATAAACCTTTGCTAAATAGTCACGCCAATATTTACGAACCAAACGGGACAGATCTAAATGAGGAAACCGTTACATACTTTGTTGGTCACCCCATCCGAAATAGGTCCAGTTGCCTGCGTAGATGCAAGGTGCGCAAAAATAGGGGAGGAAAGACAGACAAGGAGAAGCGAGACTAACATCAGGCGATGGCTACAGGCCAGACACAAATGGAATACGGAGGAGCACTGAAAACATTTTTAGAAGACCGCAATCAATTTTGGGAGCCAGACTGGAGCGGAATGCTGATGATGATTTCCAACACGTTGAACACAAGTGCGGCCACAACGGTTTTCTTGCTCCAAAAATGAACAAGTGGGTTAAAACGTGGTGCTTCCACAGTTTTCCATCGGCCTTGTTAATGTCGCTTGGGATTTATAGAAGTAACATGGTTAGAAAGCAAGACATGAAAGTTGTGTATGAGAAATAAGACGACTGTGTTTCAGAGAAAGCTCCTAGTAAGATCTTTAACCAACATTTACATGATCATTAAAAACATATCTTTTCAATTTCCTTACTATTACAAATAAACATTCTCAAGTCATTAATATTTCTACTCAGGTGTTTTTTTCCTATACTTATTTAATGATGTAACATTTTAATTACAACCAGCTAGACCTTTAATGCCAAAAGATTGCTGTGTGGTTTTAAAAATTTACCAAACATTATAGAAAAAAACTAAATTAAATAACGTATCTAGATTGTCCGCTATTTTACATTTGACGTAAATGTAGGGCAAGTGTTTTTTTCCCCAGTGCCACCAGACATTTACCAATGGGGTGTGCCGATGCACAAACACAATCCCCCACCACCGCCATCATTTCGTTTTCATGGGTAAATGCACCGAAGAGCTCATTTTCCTCCCCATTTCAGCTGACAGAATGTAAAACGTGAAAGATTGTATCAGTTTATCATGACAGAGTGAGTACTCTGAAAGCATACGTCACCTCCACGCCACAAGGTCTGTCATTTTATCAAAGTATTTTCCATTAAATGCAAATGTAGTGATGACAGAAAATTGCTAATTCTAGGCGATCGACAATGCATTATGGCTATCATTTTTAAAATGCACCATCCCAAGAGGCAATTTAGGATATGTGGTGAGATATTCAGCATGAGTCCAGCATAAAATATCTTAATTTAGCACGCAGCACTGGCGCAGAGCCTCGTTTCATTCTGAAATGAGCAGATGAGCCATTCAGTAAAAAGAAAAACCCTGGGAGATTTAAATCCCCAAATAGTGACATCGCACGTAATAATGATACGTTGCCAGCCTTCAACTCCAAATTGGATAGTAACCAGATTCAAATGTCCAACTTAAGTGCAGAACAGGTGCCATCAAACAAGGGGCAGCTACATGTTTACACACACACACCCACGGGCACATGCATTTCCATATAAACACAAAGGCAACCATGCGTTAAAAGTAACACAAATTGAACTCGAGAACACATGCACACGAGTGGCACTTGAACGCACCTGCACAAAGGTAAACCCGACAAAGAAGCCGCAATGGCTTCGTGGCAGGTGACAGGGGGTGTGCTGCCCTCTGGTGGATTTTACAACTTACTAATAATGGATACTGTCAAGGAAAAAAATATCCACACAGAGCATTAATAACATCTCTTATTAACTGGTGTTAATTTTGCCCTGCACAGAATGTGGAACGTTATGCGGTTGGCATCAATGCCCCATTCAATCAAGCAGGCTGAAAACATTTTATTTGGTATGCATCGTAGCATAAATTCAAGCAATGGTTGTATTTGAAAATTGTAGACAAAGTAGATTAATTTTCAAATAGCACACCTAAGTCAACTGATGTACAAACTAATGCGCGTTAGATTAATTTAATTTGTAGCCGTACATTTTTCATATACCTGTGGTTTCAGAGGCTGAAATAAAAAGGTTCAAGAGAAGTGAGAAAGCCGACAAGAGACTGAAGCAAGTCCGAGCCATAAGTGGCATGCAGCAAAGTAAAGGTTTAAGCGGGGACGATCGTAGCGTGGAAATGAGAATCAAGCAAAAAAATTAGTGGGTTTTATACGTCTCACTCGCACGTTTGGTCTCACACACGGTCGGAGGAAAAACGAGCAGAGAGTGAAAACTTACAACACTGCATATTTGTGGTCGGAAGGGGCTTCTTCTCCACTGCCTCTTGGAAGTTGTACTGTCGCACAAAGACAACGCACATATCATTTGTCATGCCATGCACCGTAACGCTTGCATCTACAATCGTCGTACCCTTCCCATCGAGCATCAACTTTGAACGTTGGAATGTTAACCGATTGAACATTATAAAGTATAGTGCACAAATCGTTCTTTTGTGATGTACAATAGATAAGTCATTTAAAAAAAACACGCAAAAATAACAAAATGTTTGAAAATACAGAACGTGGCTTCATGGCCGTACCGAGTAAACATGCAACATTGGGTCAGCGTTGGCATGTGGTTGGAACCGTTGGGCCAGTGTTGGCAAGCGTTTGCCCAACGTTTAATCTTTAGTGGCTAAATGCTCATTATTTTTACTTCGTTGTATTCAACATGGTTTAATATCATATCACGGCGTGTTCAACTAACACTCACAAGAAATAATTAACATCTCTGATTCCTGATATCATCTTTCATTGCAAACTTCTCTTGAACACATGAAACTTTTCTATCTGAAAACCACCACTGTCTGGGCCATGGTGCCATGCCTGAGTGAGAGCGTTGTTGTGGTTGCTGAGGATCAAGTGGCAAGACAGAATCCCTGACACGGAAGTCCTCAGCAAGGCCAATATCTCCAGCATCCAGACCTTGCTTGCAAAGGAACAGCTTAGATGGACTGGCCACGTGACCAGAATGCCCTGTGCGAGACTGCCAAAACAAGTCTTTTTTGGCGAGCTGAAGAATGGCAAGCGAGCGCAAGGTGGCCCCAAAAAGCGCTACAAGGACACCCTGAAAGCTTCCTTGAAGAAGAGGAAGCTTTAAGCTCTACATCCTCCCTGACCTGTCCAGTGTGCCACAGATAATTCCGGGCTCGGATTGGCCTCTTCAGCCATCTGCGCACTCATCAAAACCCAACAAAATGACAAACGTGCCATGGTCATCATCAACTTGATGGACGAACAAGAGAGATAGAGAGGGCTGCTGCTCACAGCAGCTGTGGAGGCGGCTCTGCTGTGCCACTCATTGCGCTACCAGCAAGGGCAGCAGGGGTAGCAATGGAGCAGGCGCCGTGGGATGCCAGTTGTGCTGGGACGATTACTTGACGACTGATTTGTTGTGGTCTATTACGCGGGCCATATTTGTTAAATGGCTGCCGCCCCCACATCCTGTCTCATGAAGGTGGGAAACCCCCTGCGAGCTACGGCCAGCATGGCGCAGCCAATGAAACCGATCACCCATCACCGCCCGTCTAGGGGCATGCGCGGGAAGAGATGAGGCTTTTTTTCCTTGACGCTTTTCATGTTATCCGATTAATCGAGTAATAGAATCGACAATCGATAGAATAATTCAATCACTGAAATAACTGGGGTGGGGGGAAGTCCAGCTCTACTGCAAATCATTAATTTGCATCGAGAGTTAATCGGTGCAGAGCATTGCTTTGCAGCTACGATCAACGACGCATTGAGGCTGGCCTTGATGTCACCGGGTTTCTGGCACGTGCGTCAGTTGTTTATCTCCTTTCACTTTCCCTGCCTTCCCTGCCGCTTTGCTGTGATTTCCCGTACGTGATTATCTGGCGGGTAATGCACACAAGGGCCATTTGAGTTACCGGCTGCTGCAATTTGAGGCTGAGAATTTGGTTCTCAGCTCTCTGCCGGTTAAATTTATGTGAATCACGCCCCACAGTAATTTAATGTGCAACGACCCACTAATGGTTTTGTTTCATTTTACGTCACGTCCTGTTGTTATCAGAAAGTATTAAACATGTTAATTACGCCTCTGATAATTTAGAAGCTAAAATACACGAGGTTATGACTTGCGTATTAAATTATATCACAGTAATTGCACTCGTTATGAAATATATACAACAGGTGACATGACCCCCCAGACTTTAATGAGAGTTAAAAGCAGTAGAGAATAAGATTTGTTAAAAAATATATTGTGGGAAGCACGATCCTTCAGGCATGACGCACGTGACCACACGTCTGCACCCGTGCCCACGATCAAATCCACGTGGCCGACGGCGATAATAACCACCGTTTATTATCCCTCAAATTGAACGTTTAGGTTGAGTTTTAATGTGACGATGGCGTTTTGAGTGGGAGATTTGTGCCAGAAAGGTGCCATACACATGTAAACAAAAATTTAATTGACTTGACTCCATGCACGAGCTCCCAATGCCACCGAGGCGTGGTAACACAACTGACTCGTCATCATCATCATCGTCAAGATCCTCCTTGGCCTTGTCCCCGCCGAATACCACCCCCCCAATCAACCTCCCCCCCTCCCTCCCATTGCAGCAACCAAGGTCTTCTGTCAATACTCCTAATCAACCTTTTATTCGATTTTTAGTGCGCTTGTTTACAAGTCTGAGTCTCAAGCCTCTTTCTCATTCGGGTCCTGCCAAGTTTTAGCAGTAGTGGTCGATGGTCGTTTTGTGGATTCCAATTTGAGAATTTGCGTGTTGTATTTCAAATTTGGCAAATTTGGACCATGACACCGGCGCATGTTGGCCAACTTTTGCAAAATTACGTCACGGGATCTTTCGCATCCGCCGTGAAGCACACCGCAGCGATGACCAGGGCGCCCGCTGGAATTGAACCGCGAACTTCTGCAACAAGCGGCGAGCCTCTCCCGCGGGGACCGCTGCTCCTCCTCCTGCTCAGCTGTGCCCGGGTCCACGGAACTCCCTCCCCCCCTTGACCATCTGCACTGCTGACTCCACCACCTGCTGACTCCACCACCCTCGAGACCTCCTTCTGCTCAGCTTCTTCCATCCTCGTCGTCTTCTACGCGCTTTGTCCTGGTGTGCCATAGCGGCGAGATGTTAACTAGCTCACCTGGCATACAGGAGGTCGTAAGTTCGATCCTGACCCTGACGATGCCTGTGTATTTGGAGTTGGCATTTTCTCCCCGTGGTCGCGTGGATTTTTCTCCGGGTCCTCCGGTTTTTCCCTCCACATTTAGAAACGTGCTTTTAGAGTATTTGGCTGCTATAAATGTCCACGTGATGACAAGCCACTTCGTTGCGCTATCCTTTGTGGTCAGGTTGCTTCTGAAAAATAGCTACATAGCTCAGTGGGCCTTACCTGGTAAAATAAAATAAATACCCAGCCCTCTTTACCCATATCCTTTCATTCATCTCCTTATATGTGTTATTACACCACTTTCTCTGGTGCAAATTCTGTATGAACTCTATAAAGATGCAGTTGCATTGCATTGAATTGTATGTGTGGTAATTTTAGAAATGTTCCTCCAGAGAATAAACGTTAATGTGTTTTTTTGCCAGGTTGGCAATAGAATTCACTCTGGGAAAAATGTGAGCGCGATTTCATCTTTGAGTAACGTTTAACTCCCTCGCGAGCCAACCGCAAGACAATGCGAGCAGGAATTGCCAACGATGACGCACACACGGTGCTCACATCCACACGTGAAGACACCTTCAATTCCCTCGATGGATTCTCGGAAAGCCGCTTTAATAACCAATGTAGTCAGAAAAGTATTATCAAGTAAACCATCATCGCAGCAAGCAAAGGCGCCTACGAAATTACTTTTGTGGCGCATTTATAGCCAAACTGAGTTGGAGTTTTATTTGATATGTTCCACCGATGATACCGTTTAACCAGTTGCCCGGCTTCTACAAGTGAGATCCGTGGTGGATGGGCACAGCAGTAACAAAAACAAAAGACAAAGATCAATCTTGCCAATTGCTGATAATTTATACCATCTTAGCTTTAAAGGTAGACAGTGAATAGCCAAAGGCAACTGTATTCCAAACAACGGCCACCATGACCATTCTCAAATTGTAAGTGTGCACCCGTGCATAAACGATGCCTTCTAAATGTTTATTAATAGTTTTTTCAATTAACTCAGATGTGTCAAATATTCTAATAGTTTCGGGCATTGCAAGTTGTTAGCTGTGTGTTTATATTGTTATACCAAAAAAAGAGAAATACTGAAAAAGCATCTGAGAGCGTTCACTAACATGCAGACACGTTAACAAATGCACACCGAGGACCATTATCAAGCCCTTTGGTGCACAGGAAACACAACGCAGCGAGCAATTTATGACACATTGAAAGCACATTGCGTGGTCGGTCCTGTTAGTGACACGGGCAAGGTACCCAGTGTGTCGCGTCATGCTCAAACGTGTGTGGGGTGGGGGGATTCTTATCGGTTGGCAGTCTTTAATAAGTGGTGAAAATTCCCCATTCCTAATGGAAGGGACCAGTCTTTAAACAAATCAACCAAAATGTTGATTTCCCACGATATTGACTCTGAGTGGATGATGGGACGAAGTCAATTCAACACTGGGATTTTAATTCCCAAACTTCTGATTGTGAGTCATGACCTCATATCATCACCCAATCATCAAACAAACAAAAAAGCGCTTAAGGATGAGGTGAAAAGGTCAACAGTTCCTATTGCGATCTCAAACGATCAGTTCCTGCATGGGGCCTAGAAAATTGAATTTTCTATCACATTTTAGGTTTCTTTCTTTATTTAGAGTTCCAATACCTCGTCGTGATCCTGCAGGACGTTGAGTTGCTCGAGCTTCGTGGTCCAGTACTTTGCCTCCTCCTCTGGGATGTCTGCAGCACACAAGAGACGACAGCCGCCGTTCAAACACTCGGAACGTCACTCGAGGCGCGCGAATGGAGGGGCTTCCCGGGGATTCATCATGGACAATCACGCAATTATTTGCAGACCTTTATCAAGCTACTGCTGGGTGAACTGTAACCTGGTAACCGTTTTTAGAATCGATTAGAGGTTCTTAGAGTCAGGAGACGTATCTGTTTCGAGTGTAATTTTAGTGATAAACGCACCAAATCACGAGACGCCCTGGACACTATGAACACACATGCATACAAACTGTCAACATACAGACTTACTATCTAAACAAACATGGTCATGATGAGGCCGCCTCACCAAAGGGCAGCTCGAAGCGCGAGTCGAGCAGGACCTGGTGCGGCGTGGGGGTCTTGGTGCCACATATTTCATCTTCCTTCATGAGGACTTCGGCGTCGAGGGTTTGCCATTCTCCTGGGCCCTCCTGCCACGCCACGACAAGCCCACCACACAAGCCCACCACACAAGCCCACCACACAAGCCCACCACACAAGCCCACCACACAAGCCCACCACACAAGCCCACCACACAAGCCCACCACACAAGCCCACCACACAAGCACAGCCATCGTGTCACCACCCATATCACAGCATACTACATTCAATTCAGAACAGATCGCAGATTCTTCTTATTATTATTCCTGTGGTTGTTTATCCCCAAAAAACACGTTGATTGTCAAGTTTCGCAGTCACGGGCAATGTTGTTGCCATGTGTAATCCCAGTTAAGTAATTGAGTAATTTCGCGGATCATATTTCGAAATTGGCAAATTTGGTCCTTGACACCGGCGCAGAATGGTCTTCTCTTGCGAAAGAATGCCAAGGGGTCCTTAACGTCAGCTGTGAAGTCGACGGCATGCAGTATTTTATGATCAATGCGCACTGCAGTATTACTCAGGCCAGCCTGCCGGAGTTGAACAGCAGACCTCTGCAACAAACGGCAAAGCCGCTACCGCTGGACCACGTCAGCGCTCCCAAAGGTGTCGTGTGCAGGTGGTGAGCTTGCCTCGTTCGAGTGCTGGATGTCATTGAGAGGAATCCACGAGGTGCCAACCATCGTGTCCCAGATGAGTCCTTTGTCCCATACCTCCACGATGAGGCCAAGATCCAAACGGTTGATCTCACTGTGGCGAAACAGAAACACATGCCATGGATCAGAGGGACAAGGGACAAGCAGCTCTGTACATTTCCACACTGGGGCTGCCAAAATGGGTACATTTTTTAAGTGCCCTACATGTAATTACCGTATTCTCAGGATTATAAGATGCTCCGTAACTTATGGTCAGTGTCAATAGTTATACAAATCTGCACAACAATAAAAACAACCGCCGTTCACCACTAAGTGGCGGGAACATCACCACGGCACTTGTGCCAGGCTAGGCGCACCACACTAAACACGCACATATACCTACTGGATTATAAGACACTCCCAGCTGTTGCATTAAAATACAAAGTTAGACTTATAATCCGGAGCGTACGGTATGTGGTATGCGGTGTTCAATGGTACCGTGTGCCTCTCTGCACTGTTATACCGTGCTGCCAAACACACGCCAAAATTAGTCAACTCGCGACAATGTATTTCAAAAGCAATCAAGCCTGCTGTAATGGAAAGTAAAACGTGTTTGTCGTTTTGGCACATTTAATTTGTTAAGAACACGAGATCACAAGCGTTTCGTGCGATTAGCTTAGGCCTCTGCCATGCGGCTCTTAGCCTTATCATTTCTGACAGGTTGCAGCCTCGTTCATTGAAAGGCAATATGGGAAAATGACACGTGTAAAAAAATAATCATCTGGAAAGCATTTGATAAAAATTAATACCAGTTTTGCTTATGAATATTTGATGTACAACACGGCTCTTTCTCGAAATGAAATTGTATCAATACTGCAATGAGCATGTGCGTCTCCGTCTCCCCGATTGCATTTTCTGACAAAAAGCTGAATCACCAAACATTAATATGCAGGCAACAAAAAACAAACAAATGCATCGTACTTTTCTATGAAATGCTTCTCCGATTTGCTTTAAACTAAGCACGTAAGCAGCATGAGATCATTTTTATTAATACACAATATGAATTTATATTGCAAACCATTTGCCCGTGTAAGACTTGTAAAAACAACACATTGACCTCTTTCCCTGAAAGGAACTTCTGCTTTTATTTGGAAGTTCATTTCAAGGCAAGAGGAGATAATGATTCTACCAGAGAGTGGTAAAATCACCATCAATATCTCCTTTTTCCAGCACGTGGATCCATGGAACTGCATAGGTTTTTTGTCATTTTGCGTTTTCTGGTTGTACAGCTCGTTGTTCGGCAATGTCTAACATTTCACACCAAGTGTTGGGGAGCTTCATCACATCGCAGTTTCCCCCATGAAGTAGACCACACTAACCCTGCACACTCGACAGGCGAGGAAAAGCGTTGTCCAAAGCAAGGCCCACGGGCCACTGGCGGCCCCTTGTAGCCTATAGTGCGGCCCCCTGATGTGTGGACCCCGATAATACAAAAATGTGCAACACCCCCCATCATCATCATCGTCGTGCTGCTGTCAAACCGCCAATGGTTTCAAATGTGTGGCGGCCCTCACACTGATGATGTCTTATCGGCGAAAGTGGCCCCCCCTCTGAAAGTTAGTGAAGATCACTAGGCTAGGTCATCGTCATGTGCCTTGCCGCAGGGCAACTCGGTTTCAACTTAGCACCCGAAAAAAACAGGGTGAAGATTCTTGAAATGCCGCAAAAAATTCCAAAGGCCACATCAGCAGCAAAATAATCATGATAAACGTGCTCTCATCGGGGCGTTTAAAGAACCTTCTGCCGAGCAGAAACAGGTCGCATTCGCATTGGACGTGCGAGTGACTCGCGAGAAGAAGGAGAAGAATGTAACGGTGTCCTTTCTTCATCGCCAAGAGTGGCGTTCTGATCTTGGCAGCGGCGCACGCTACGGGAGACCCGGTGCACTGCCCCTGCCGATGGGCCGGCTCAGTGCCACGCGGTATTGCGGGACACTGGGCAGCGGACGCAATGCATTTCTGAATGGGGAAATCGACAGAATGGCACTTGGGGAAAATGTATAAATTAAACATGTTTAGGGGTCTTATCTTGCTATCAGAGTCATCTGTGATATTTTCACAACTACTTTCCACCAAAACATGAATTAAACTCAAAAGTCTCAATGAGCCCCAACACGGTTTAAATCTGGACATTGGATTTGATTAACTTAGCCTCTGCAGAGGGAGTGGTGGTGTCGCCATGGTCAGCGCCCTGTGTTGTGAACCCGTCGACCCGATTACGATCACCAGCCCGTGGAGAGTGACATCTGAACCAATCATGGCCCCCCCCACCTCCCACCCCACTTCACAACTAGCACTGACCAGCGTGGTGAAGTATGGGAAAACAACCCCCACGACTGACACAACATGGGGAGAATACTTGTCCGGAAGTGGATTGACAAATAAATCTGATTGACAAACTTTTTAAACTTTGAGCGTAAATATTTCAAAATTAGTCAAATAAATGGTTGAAAAAAAGAGTTGCAAATATTCTAAATGGAGCTTTTACATTTCGGAACATTTGTTTAATAAATGACCGTTATATAATGACAACTGACGGCCCTTTGTCAATCCACTGTTAAATGAAGGCGTCCCCACGCTGTGCGAGTCGTGAGGGTCGTTTGAGCATGCTTCATCACGTTGGTCAGCGTAGGGTGGTTAAGTAAATATATGGGCATTGGAAATGTTCGAGTACTCAAACGATACAATAAAACATTTGGCAAGAGGACATTTGCCAGACAGGTGACTGTGCCTGCCATTTAAAAGGCCTGTGAAGCCAGACCCGAGTCACAATGCGCCTGTCACGATGCCTGCCAGACCCTCATTATGCCCTCTATCTTTCTGTATAAAGTAATGGCATTCCTTCACGGTTGCCATTTTGTCATCCGAATGCAAATTATACACTGGCCGAAATAATAAAAAGGGTAACTATCGAGCGATAGAATGCGTTTCACTTTAAAAAAAGAAAAAACAATGAAGCCATTAAATTTATCTACAGCACCTTTTTTGCCAGTATCAAAATGATGAAACAATAAGACACGTTTTACCCTTTCTTTAAATAAAACAGGAGTTGTGTTAAGATGTTAAAACACCAAATAGATACCTTTTGCAAGGAATCAAGTCTGTATTAACCACACGTACTTTAGGCAAAACGTGCAAACAAACATGCTCTGATAATATATGCATTGTCTTTTATAATATGAGTAATACTGATCATTTATATACCCTTTTGTCCATCCACGACTGGGCAAAGACCTCCCCATGCTGTGCCAGTCATGGGGATTGTAAGTGTATATGTTGAACTTCTTTCGCACCGGACGTAGCCAACCGTGGTAATCAGGGGAACGATACCGAATTCACCGCACAGGTCAGTGAGGGTTGGTCAAGCGAGGAGCCCAAGAGCAGTGCCGATATCACTCGGAAATAATACGAGCCACGGGCCAAAATCGAACGCAGGTTAACGGGTTCACATTCCAGTGCAAAAACCACTTAGCCACCACTCCCATCACGTCACGTTAAACTACCGAACACAGAGTATGTCGAATTATAAGCATTCGGTACTGTCGTTTGGGTGGCTATAACCTAAAAATAAGACGTGTTTTATTGCATACAATAGGTGCTCTAGTTACACTAGCTGGCTGCGCTTAGCACCTCGCTTCGTTTTCCAAAAACACGGCTCAATCCTGGGAACAGGTCCAGCATTCAAAGGCTGTGCATCAATCTCACAAGTGCTCTTTATGACCCCCTGTATTTGTCGAAAGTTCACGAAGAAGAGCTCATCCATTGTGAATTCTGTTTGACAGAAGTCATGACTTCACCTTCATTCAGTCCTCCATACGATTCGCTGGCCTGACAACAATGCCTGCGCACGTCCGTTCTGACACACGCGTGGCACACAGTGGTTCATTCATAAACAGACGCGAGCGTTTATTTCCGTGAAAAATAGGTCTGAACAACTCTAATGGGCAGCAGTCATAAAACTGAAGGATTTCTCCACAATTCTGGCAGTCGCCTAATAAGGCTGGTTGTAATAATTGGCAAAACGTTGTGCCCGACTTGTAAATGTCGTGGGTTTACTCTCCAACACACTACCGGTGTGCTGAAGTAAAGAACTGGCACGTTTTGTTCACGTGACAAACCTTACTAATTGGCTGTCGGGTGGTGGCGGGTTGAACGACACATTCATATTTACATGATCTAACCCAAAATAAATCCTGCATTATGTATTAAATTATATGTTCATTGAATTTATTACGAATATTTTTAGGAAGACGTTTTCTATTTATAGAGACTACATGATAACGCTGGCTTAAAGCAGATGCACCATGAGCTTAAATTGCAAACTTACATAAGCACCAAATGCATATTGTAAGATGCTGACATACAGATTGAGATTAAAGGATGATAAAATAATGCTTTCGCCTGCTGTATCACTACACGTGCATACAAAACGTGCATTTTACAAAAGGGTTCAGGATGACACAATATGGAAAAGCATCATAATTTAAGTCAAACCACAGCTTTTAGCGATGCCTCACGGAGGCTCGTTTCACCATAACCCAGCACCGTCAGCAGTGTAGCCCCGCAGAGCTCACAGACACAACCTCTGCTGGTAGTGTCTGTTTCTCATTTAATTTCATTTGGGTGGCCGCGTATCCCAGCAGTTGGCAAGACTGAAAACATTCAGCAACGGGTTCAATACATTTGAATTCCGACAGCTGTCCACTAATACTGTGGGGCATTGCAAAAGCGTGGCATCTGCTGTAGATGTTTTAGACCTTGTGACATCAGTACAAGCGCGTGCCCTTTGTGCATACAGATTATCCCGAGGCCAGATTAGAACCACGGTGAAAATTTGCCCTCGATTTTAAATGGGAAAAAAATTACTCGTGTTCATCAAGTCATTAAACAATCATCACCTCTGGAGGGTGATGACCTCGTGAATGTGATTTGAAAACCCAAGTATAACCGACACCATAAGCACCTCGCTACAACTACCACGTGTGAATAAATCAAGAGGACATTTCCAGTGTGACACTGTTCGTTAGACTCATCTCGCAAGGCGATTACCTCGGGC